TAATATTATTATTATGATTATTATTGTGTAATAAAGCAGGAAGAATGTGAATAGTTCTTGTGTTTTATTTATTTAAAGACTAATAAACTTATTTTACTTTAATGTTATTTGTTTTTTATGATCCGATCAATACTTAATATGTATTTTTCACTCAAACAAACATTATTGTGGTTTATTGGACAGTCAGTGAATGTCAATATATTTATTATCATGGTTTGTTTTATTTTACACTTATTAAAGTTTTATTGTCTGAACCCTGTTAATTATTTAATTATTTAATATCGGTTTCAGCACTAATAACATTTGACTTCATGAGTAAATAACAACACTTAGCTTAGCATAATCAGATATTTCCCGCTCATAATGAACTTTATAATTATTACAAACTGAAACACAGACACAAATAAAACTACATTTACAAATATTTCAATATTTGCCTCTAAAACTGTAATTTTACCACTTCTGCTAGCTTGTAATACTAAGTGACTTCCTGTTTACATCGTTGATGGCGCTACAGCTGTTACCTAGCAACCGCCGTACACATTATAAAGTGTTTACTGGCTGAGACAGTTCAAGTTTTAATGCTACAACCTGATTTAATACGTTTGAACTGAAAGGATGTTGTGTTTGTGAAGAGCTGCTGCATCCTATAATACTGTCCTGGTTGCCTAGCAACAGGACTCCAGGAAGTCACTGCTCCTCGCTCTCTGGTCCTCTGAAGGGTTAAACAAACAACATGGAATATGTTAATCAGGAGCTTTAGAGCTGTTGGTTTCCTCCTGTTTCCCCAAATGTAACCTGATGTCTGTCGGTGTTTGTTTGTCGATCCACAGATTATAAATGTTTCCTTAGGAACTCTGTGCCTTCTGGGAAAGCTAAATCACCAAAGACGAATAAAAAGAAATGTCTTCGTCCTCTAACTAAAACCAAATGATCTGAGTCTTCCTCATGTTTCACAATCAGGGAGAAACCGTCTGAGATTCAACTTCTTTTAACTTTATTCTTCAAACAACAATGACTGTAGTTTTTCTGTTCAAGAGGAGAATGAATGTATAGCAACTGTGAGTGTTGCATTTTGGGTAATGTAGTGTTTTCTGTCGTTATTTGGCTCATATTCTTTAATAGTTGATGTTTAATGAATGTTAGTGTGGTTTTTAGTTCACTGTGAGAAAACTTTAAAGGAAACTGTTCTCACTGTGTTTTTAGGTTTTAAGTCAAATTGAAACTTTTAAGTTCTGAAATAAACTAAATAAGTTTTTCCAACCTAATGATGATTGGTGATTTGTTTTCTTCTTTAGAAAAACTTAAATCTTTGAGTTTTACAAACAAACAAATCTACATTTCAACAATTGTTTTCATTATTTACACAAGAAGAAAAATAAATGACATCAACAGATTATTATTAGGTTGGAAAAACGTATTTTAGTTCATTTAAAAACCTAAAAGTTTGAGTTTGATTTAAAACTTTATTGAAAACAGTTTCCTTTTAATTCTGAGTTTTATCAACTGTTTAGTTTTTTAGAGAAATTAGAAAGTTTATTTTAACTTGTTAAAACCTTTAAGTGACACAAACTCAAATTTAAACTCAGTTACAGAAACTGATTCAGTAGTTTATATATATATATATATATATAGGTATTTTGTTTCCACAGTACAAATAAAAAATAATAAATTAAGTCTGTGTCACTTAAAATGACTAAAACTACCTGATCAAGAATGTTTTTTTTTATTTACAAAATTTAATTATACTTAAAATGTTTGTTAGTTAAATTCATTTATGTTATTTTTAGATTTATTTTACATTGTATGTAATTTTTTTCCCCCCACCACAATAAATAAATAATAAATAGATGAAAACACCTGGTTACATTTTACTGTAATGTCATTATTACCTGCTGTGTCCTCAGAGTTAGCCCCGCCCTCAAAGTGAGGTCACCACAGGTGTGTTTGTTTACGGTGAACTCTGATTCAAACAAACCCTCCAGAGTTCTTCCAACACCAGACAAATTGGTTTCATTATGAAGGAAGTAAAGGAACCTGAACCTTGTTTCCTGCTCAGACCAGGTGAGGCTGAAAACAGATAATCTACCGCTTTGTCTCACCTGAAACACCTCCTCCTCCTCCTCCTCCTCCTCCTCCCTGGTGTAATAAGGACTTTAACCGCAGCGTCTCACCTGGCAGGAAAACAATGAGTGCAGAGGAAGAAGAGGAAGTGTCTGAACAATGAGAGCGTCCTCCGTGAAGCGAGTTTTCCTCCTGATTGGAACTTTTTCTTTCCTCATTTGTACAATTTTATACGTGAAATACAACCAGAGCCCCGACAGGTAGGTGCTCACCTGCTGCTGTTACAACGATCAATACTATTGATTACTGCAGTTAGAGTAATAATATGCACAGTAAAGTATTAAACTGTTGTACTATTATATCTTATTCGATTGTTCTGACATTTTGACATTTTCTTCATTCATTGATTGTTTGCTTTGTTAAATTCTGAAAATGGTCCAAAGTGACACCTTCACAGTGTTTGTTCTGTCCGACCCTCAGAACTGGGTGTTGAACAGTGACACTGAACTGGATTTCTGGCTTGGATTTGTACGAACAAGCAGCAGAAAGAGTTTTAATTTAACAACTTAATTTAATACAGAAATCTAAACTCAGGATTCATGAATCAAAAGTATAAAAGTAAACAGAAACACATAAGTGTGTAACATTCAGGAGGATCTAATGAAAGTAAATGTAGCTGAAGTATTAAAGTGTGACTGTTATATAAATCTATATCAGATTATTCTGTTACTGAGACATCAACAACTTTTATTGTTTTTTAGGAAGCTCTAACTGTTCTGTCACCATTGGCTCAGATAGATAAATAAAAACAACAATAACAAGGTGTTTCTATGCACAGGAGGTGGATGTTACAGTATGAGCAATGTGCACAGATGTGTTGCTGTCTATCAGAATAAAGCCCAGTGGATGTGAGTCGCAGGGTCGCTGTGTCTGAGACTGTTGGATGCTGTCAGCCGCCTGCAGCTGTTTAATCCTTCAATCTCTGCGTTACACATTTACTTTGGTTAGATATTGATCGTCGGTTGGACGTTGAGGGCAACAATTCTTTTTGTGTTCAAGTCAGACGTCACATGATCCAGAACAGTAAAGTGATGAATTAAAGTTCATCTTAAAGTTTATTTCAGCTTTGTGACGATTCATTTTCTACAAAAACTCAGTTTTTAAATAGTTTATTTATCTTAAAATGTTTAATATCTGTGTGTATGTGTTTGTGATGGCAGTGAGCAGACAGCAGGTGGCGACATCGAGTCTCCAGAGGACGACTGGACGATAATTACAGCAGCAGAAGAAGAAACTGTGAGAATAATAATAATAATAATAATAATAATAATAATAATGATATATAAAATAATAATAATAATATAAGATGATAA